TATATAATCTTTTTTCGTTTTAATTTTTAAATCGATTACAAAAAAAATATATATATATTATATATACAATTTAATACTTTTACATGATTAAAATTAAACATTATAATTAACAAAAAAAAAAAAAAAAAAAAATATGTGCGACTACCCGGTCCACTATCTTTTTTTTCTTTATCTTTCCTGGCAGATGGGAAAAATGGTGAAAATTCCCTAGTAGTCAGCGTAGAACTGAACGGTGTCACATATCAAGGAGTACTTTTTGCCCAAACGGATTCGAAGAATACCACATCGTCATCATCATCATCAACAACGACGTTGACGCATAATGAAAACGGAAAAACATCACGGAGCATTGCATCGTGAATGCGTTATATATTACAAATAATAAAAATAATTTAGGTTAACTTCAAGTTTTTGTTGTATAATGTAAGTTCATAATAATAATAATAATAATAACAACAACAACAATAATAATAATAATAATAATAATAATAATAATAATAATAATAATAATAATTATAATAGTAATAATAATAACAATTAATAATTAATAATTAATAATTAATAATTAATAATTACAACCTAAATTTATGTAAACGTATTATACACACACATATATATATATATATATTTATATATATATATATGTGTATGTATATTTGACCCTTTCGCTACATATATTTCCCCATTACCCTCACCCCCCCATCGCCAAATTAAAAAATAATCATCGCCGCTGTCGTATATATAATTTTCATTCGAACTTTTTTGTTCATTTTTTTTTCTTTTTCGTTCTTTTATTTTTTTAGTTTATTAGTTCGTCGTTTTGTTTTTTATCCTTCTCCTTACCTTTTTTCCCCCATCCCACCCCATCCCCACCCCATCCCTACCCCACCCCTATCCCCAACCCTACCCCCCACCCCCATCATCATTTTTTGTTTTTTCTCGTTAATTCACTTCCCTGTTTTTCTTTTCCATACTTCTTTTTTTTTTTATTTCTGTTTCATTTCGATAATATGACTATCTTAAATTAATTATACGACGAACAATTCAATTTATTGTTCTTTCATGATTTCTTTAATTCGTCGTTATTGCATTGTTTGCATATTTATTTATTTATCTGTATATATATATATATACATATATATATATATATATATATATATATATATACATATTGTTTTTTTCTTTATCGTTATTCAAACAAATTTTATTTCGTCTAGTCCTATTGAATTCACTTTGCGAAAAAGAAAAAGGAAAGAAAAAAGAAAAATAAAAAAGAAAGAAAATAATTTTTATTATTAAATATTCGTCTTCATTGTTCATTAACGATATTGTACGAAAAAAAAAGAAAAAAAAAAAAAAAAAGAAAAAAGAGTTGCTCGTTCCAATAATCTAATAATATTAAATTTTTTGGTCGATTTCTTTTCTTTCTTTTCTTTTTTTTTCTTTTTTTCTTTTTTTTTTTTTTTTTTTTTTTTTTTTTTTTCTTTATTTTATAATAATACATTGCATATCCTATTTTTTAGCTTGGTATAAAATGAGATTAATTTTTGCTTTACAGTCCTTTTTTTTTCTTTTTTTTTCGATTTTTTCCTCATCCATTCTCCTTTCTTATCATTTGTTGTCATTTTCAAAAGTCTTAACACGCTACACGTGTACAAATGTCCTATTACCTTTTCTCTGTATTAAATACAAAAAAGAAACAATTACGTTATACGAATGATTGAATGATGCGAGCGCAAAAGGTTCTTTTTTGTTTGTTTTCTTTTTTTTTTCTGCGGCGGTGAGGTAGCGAAAGGGGTTGAGAAAGAAAAATAAAAAAATAAATAAATAAAGGAATAAATACAAAACAAAGAGTGAACGATAAACGTAATGCAATCGACAATTAACGATTGCAAACAATCAACGACGACAACAATTGTTTAACAACGGCAACAACAGCTACGACAACGGCAACGACAACAACAATGGCTACGGCAACGGCAACAACAGTAAAAACTTGAATAAAAAAAAAGAAAAGTCGTAATAAACGAATGAATAATGATGACGATGATGATGATGATAATAATAACGATTGGACATTAAAGGGAAAAGAAAAAAAAAATGAAGAGAAAAAAAAAAAATAGAAGAAAAAAAACGACGAAGGAGGAGAGAAAAACAAAAAAAAGGAACTGAAAAAAGTTCACGCGTTAATTAATTATATTATTTCATCATTATTATAATCGTTTTTACTTTAAGAGATTAATTTAATTAATTAACGCAAAATCCTCGGATTGGTCGAAAATATCTTGAAGTCGACATTATTGACCAATCCGAGGACTTTTAGTCAAATTATTATTATTATTATTATTATTATTATTATTATTATTATTATTATTATTATTGTTATTATTATTATTATTCTTATTCTTATTCTTATTCTTATTCTTATTATTATTATTATTATGATCACATTATTATTATTATTATTATTATTATTGTTATTATTATTAATATTATTATTATTATTATTATTATTATTATTATTATTATTATTATTATTATTATTATTATTATAATCGTAATATTTTTGTATTATATTATCTATTATCTTTAACAGTATTTTTCTTTTCTGTTTCTAAGTTTAGACAATTTATCTCCGCGCGTCGAATCATTTTATTATTATTATTATTATTCTCTCTTTTTTTTTTTAATGCATATATATATATATATATATATGTATATATATATATATATATATATATATATATATAAATAATATGTATGTGTATATATATATATACGTATGTATATACTTGTACGATTTAATTTGCAGTACTCGTTAGAAATAATGAATAAAGTTCCGATAAGTGTATTATTGACGAAAGAGTGGGAGTAAAAAAAAAACAACACGTACTTACCGACGTAATTCGAAATTTAAATTTTAATCGTACAAATACATACGTACGTGTGTGAAAATATATATATATATATATATATATATATATACATGTATATATATACATGTATATATATATACATATGTATATATATATATATTTAGAAAAAAGAAAAAATTTAAGAAAAAGAAAAAAATGTCTCGTTGAAAGAAACAAACGAAATGATATTTGAGAAAAGTGATATATCCCATTGAAAAAAGAAAGAAAAAAGAAAAAAATAAATTAGTGGAAATAAAATGAAAAAAAAGAAACAACAAATGAATAAATAAATAAATAAACGTAGGGATATGCGCGAGAGAAAAAAGCAAAAGAAAAAAAAAAAAGAAAAATTATTGTGCAATAATTTTTACGATTGAATTGTTGATAAACATTTTTTTCTCGTGGTCATTATGATAATAAAGATTTCTCATGTTAATCGATTGGAAAAGTATGTGGTGAGAAAAATAAAAAAAAAAAACAAACAAAAAAAAGAAAATAACAAAAAAAGGAACGAAAAAGAAGCAAAAAAGAAAAAAAAAAACAGCGACAGAAATATTATACATAAATATAAAAGGAAAATAAAAGAGGAGAGATCGTTACCGTGCGTATTTGTTTGATGACAAAGAAGAAAATTTGAAAAAATAGAAAAAGACAAAAAAAGAAAAGAAAAAAAAAAGAAAAGAGAAAAGAGGGCGACATTATGAGAGACAATTGATTTAAGACCAAAAGAAAATTGATCGAAGAGAAAAAAGAAATGACAAGAAAAAAAAAGAAAAGAAAAAAAAGAAAAAAAAAAAGAAAACTCTCGAAAGGAGATAGAAATTAAATTGTATGAGATAATAAATTGATTTAGATGAAAAAATTTGATCGAGTAAAGGGAAAAAAATAAAAAAGAAAACCCTTGGAAAGCAAGAGAGAGAGAAAGAAAGAGAGATGGAGAAAGAGATGGAGAGAGAGAAAAAAATAAATCATAAAAAGAGAAAATTGACTCGTAGAAAATTATTGACTTCGAGGGGTGGTGGTGGGAATAAAAAAGGCACCGGAGGAAGTGTCTTGAATGATAATAAAAATTAATAAATTAATAAATAAATAAATAAATAAATCGATAAATAAATAAATTAATTAATTAAATAAGATAAAAGAAAGTGAGAGTTTTTGTATTTTAATTTTAAATAATACGCACGCAATTGAACGAAAGTAACGAAAATAAATTGATTCTCGGCATTGTAAATTAAAAAAGAGAAGGAGAAGAAGGAGTGAACAAAAATAAATAAAAAGTAAAAAGAGAAGAAATAAGAGAAGAGAAAAAAGCGAGAGAGAGAGAGAGAGAGAGAGAGAGAGAGAGAAAGAGTGTGTGTGAGAGAGAGAGAGAGAGAAGAAGAAGAAAAATTAAAAATATAAATTATTGTGCAATAATTTTTATTTTTTTTATTTTTTTTTTCTTTTTTTTTTCTTTTTTTTTTTTCTTTTAATTTTAACTCGTACAATAATTCGAACAATAATTGATAAATGTTTCGTTTGTTTACAAAGGAAAATTTATTAAGTCGAATAACGAAAAAGAAGAAGTCAATTGCAGGCGCATATGCATGCGTATATGTGTTTCCGTGCAATGGACAAAATAAATAAGATAAATAGGGGATGAAGGATAGAGAAAGAGAGAGAATGAGAGAGAGAATTAAAAAGAAAAAAAGAAAGAAAAAAAGAAACTCTATAACATAATAATAATTAAGGAAAATTCGATTGATAAGACAGATAAGAAACAGATTATGATAATAAATAAAAATGCCTTGAAAAAAAAAAGAGAGATATATAGATAAAGAGAAAGAGAGAGAGAGAGAGAGAGAGAGAGAGCGAGAGAGAGAGAGAGAGAGCGAGAGAGAGAGAGAGAGAGAGAGAGAGAGTGAGAGAAAGACGTTTTATATTTTATTTCTAAATAACACGCACAATTGACAGTTTGTCTTCTCGAGAAACTTGCTAATCAAAAAAAAAAAAATATATAGTTATAAAAACTGAAAAAAAAAAGAAAAAAAAAATAACCCCCCGATGAAAAATAGAAGAAGTAGAAGAAGAAGAAGACGAAGACAAGCAAAAAAAGACTGATTAAATAGGACGAATAAATTATTAATTGACTTACAGATAATATATATGTATATGTGTATATATATATATATATATATATATATATATATATATAATCTGTATAAATCAATTAATAATATATATAAATAATATCCTGAAATATCCCTGGTATAATTATTAACACAATACAAGCTAAGATCGATAATGACAATTGTTTCAGTTTGTTTTATAATATATACATAGATATATACATATATATATATATATATATGTGTGTGTGTGTGTGTATGTATGTATGTATATATACATGATAAATAGACCTCTTTTAATTATCAATTGATATCTGAATTAATCTTAATATCAACTCTCAATTAGTTGTATTAATTGATTGAAAATTTTCTTTTTTTTTTTTTTTTTTTTGTATCATCTTAATTACTTTCATATCTGTCAATTAATATGAACGTAATTTTTATTTCTATGCCATAATTAATTAATTAATTAATTAATTATATCTATTTATTTTCCTATTTCGTCTTTTTTTTTTTTTTTTTTTTTTTTTTTAATTAAAAACTTATAAACGCCATATCAATGATTATTAGACGAAATAATTATTCATAATATACTCTATCTATCTATTCATTCATCCTATCATCTATTCATATATATATATGTGTACGTGTATGTATATATGTATATATGTATATATGTATGTATGTATGTATAATAGATACTTTGTTAATTTCATAAGTATCGACAAGACGATAATCTTGTTAAATGAAAAATCGATAAACAAAATGAAACGAAGTAATATTATTTATATTTACGTCAATCAATATTGTTCAATAGTTCTTGTTTGTATGTTTATATATACGCGACGTTATTAATAATTAACAAAAGTATCCTGAATGTTTTGCATAGAAGAGAAATAGAAAAAATAAGTGATTTATCAGTCATGTGCATTTGAATAATGACGATTGATTATATAGTCGTTCGCGCGTACAAAAGATTTCAAAATGTTTTCTTTTCGATCTCATCCTATTATCTTTCCTTTTCTTTCCCATTCTTTCCAATTCTTTCTCTTTCTTTTCATTTCCCTTCTCTTCTAAACACATTATACGTATACATATTATTAGGTTGGAAACTATGAAACGGGCATTTTTGTTTAGTTATTTATTTTCATTCAACACCCGTTTCATAGTTTCCAACCCAAATACTTATACATTAGGTTGGAAACTATGAAACGGGCGTTGAATGAAAATAAATGATTAAACAAAAATGCCCGTTTCATAGTTTCCAATCTAATAGAATATAAAAGGATGAGATCGAAACGTGAACATTTTGAAATCAGTACGTAAAATGGCATAATTAATAAATGATTCGTATTATTTGAACGCACGATTCATAGTCGTCTGGTATTTTCTATCTCTTTCTCTCTTCTTTTCTTTTCTTTTTTTTTTTTTTCTTTTCTTTTTTTTTTTTTATTTCTTTCTACGTTTTTTCTATGAGGACCTTGAGGATGATGACATGTTGATAATTAGTAACGTCGCGTATATATATATATATATGAGAACTGTTGTACAAGATCAATATATACACACACTTATATACGTGTATTTGTATAATAATGTCGATTTTTATGAAATTAAAATAGCATCTACGACGTATATCTACTTATTTACATTTATATACTTATATAAATGTATAAGGTATATGTATATATATATATATATATGTATATATATATATATATATATGTAAATATAGATATAGTATATTGTGATGATAATTTCGTCTAATGATCATTGATATTACGTTTGAAAATATCTAATGAAATGATATTGACGGTATGGGAGAAATATTTAGGGGGAAAATAAATACGTGATGAATAATATGATGATTATTTTCGAATAAAAATTCTTAATATTAATGGGATATATATAAATAAATAAATAAATAATTAAATAATTAAATAATAAAATATCGACGATCAGATATATATCATCGATTTTGTAAATCTACATATAATAAGGATTTAAAAAAAAAGTGGTCTATTTGTTATGATCATATATATATATATATATATACACATGTGTATATATGTATGTATATTCTACTCTCTTATTTCTGCTTTTTTCGTTTTTTTTTGTTTTTCTTTTTTTTTTCTTTTTGTTCTTTTTTTTCCCCTCTCTTTTTCTCGTAAATCATTAATTGCAAATCGTTGCTCGTAAAATCATTTTGTTCGTAAATCAATTGTCACTGTCGCAAACACGGTTTGATTCGTAATTTTATTAGGAATATTTTATGGAATTATTTAGCTTCGTAGTATGCAAATATTCAATCCAATTTCTATTGCTCGAACGTATATTTGATGACGCGGAGGTCTATTTTTGTTTTATTATTATTATTATTATTATTATTATTATTATTATTATTATTATTATTATTATTATTATTATTATTATTATTATTATTATTATTATTATTATTATTATTATTATTATTATTATTATTATTATTATTATTATTATTATTATTATTATTATTATTATTATTATTATTATTATTATTATTATTATTATTATTATTATTATTATTATTATTATTATTATTATTCTTTCGCTGTTTAATTATCTTCTGTACTTTGAGACTATTACAATATTATAGATCAGTTTAATGATTAAAGTGTAAAAAAAAATAAAATGATTTCTTTAAATATCAATTCTCTGTTTGAATTTTCATATAAATAATAAATATATCCATGTGTTTCTGTGTTTCTCCCCATCCAATTCGTTTTTTTTCTCCTTAAATGTTTTATCTTTCTTTCTTTTTTTTTCTGTGTCTTTTTTCCTTGTCTTCTTTTTCTCTGTATTTTTTTTTTTTTTTTTTTTTTTTCTTTAGTCAAGATTTTCTTTTATCTTTGCGAAAATGATTGAGATATAAAAAGAAAAAAAAAAAAAAAAAAAGAAAAGAAAATAAGGAAGAAATTGATAATAAATCAATTTCTTTAATTCTATTCCGTTAAGACCTATAATTAATCCGAACGATAAATAAATTCATTTCTTTTTCTTTTTTTTTCTTTCTAATGAAAAATATACGAATAATAAAAATTATAGATTATACATTCTAGCCAGATCATTTAAAACAGATAATTATCTGAATATTCCTCTTCGCATGTATTTTACTAAAAAAAAAAAAAAAATCCTATTAGGTGATTTTTTGCAAGATCGACTTGGTCGATAATAATGTACAGTGAACTTCTTTATCGACGATCGGGAGATGATACAGATAGTAGATAAACAAGTTTTATCGAAAAAAAATTATTATATATTAATCTAAGACTATATGAATTATTAATAGAATAAATTGTTTTACAATATTATGTAAAATTAATATTTATATATATATATATACACATTAATTAATGGATTAATTTATATTAATTTATTTATATTAATAAAATAATATGTATATATACCGAGAAAGATATTATTAAACTTATTAAAAATTAATTGTAATAGAAATTATTAAAGGATAATTAATATAAACGTGTTTATCATTGAAAATGACGTACATTATTATAACATACCAAACATACGTCTATTGATATAAAATCATATATATTTAATATCGTTTATCAATCGAAATCTTTAAAAAATTTATAATCAGAAAATGTTTTCCTATAATTACGTTAATACTTTTATACTAAATGGATTAATAATAAACATTTGATTTAAATCAAAATGATCTGAATAAATCAAATTGTTTCATATATTAAATATTATATAAAAACATAACCTTTAACGTATTTCATTAAGTTAAAAGAATTTAACTTATCTTACCTTATACCTCTTTGTCTCCTGTTTCTTATCGTATATTTATTACAAATATGAAATACCGACACGAATCATAGAACTGATCTGTCGATAGAAGATCGACCATAGTTAATAATATAGATACTACGTGCGCCTCTAGCGGCAAAATAATGTAATTATCATTGATTTCAAATCACGTTGGAATGTTATTACTTTGCAATTATTTAAATTTTAAAAATTTGCAAATTAAATTCAAGTGTTTATTATTAAAATTATTGAATGTGTAGATTTCAATTTTAATAATTTTATATATATATATATATATTTATATGTATGTGTGTGTATGTATATATATATATATTTTTTTTTTATTAAGTATTCTTCCAGATTTAAAATTGAAGAATTTTTATTGAAAAAAGATAAAAAAAAAAAAAAAAAAATGAAAATGATCGAAAGAAATAGTTAGAAATTAGACTGTTAAATATCAATCAAATTTTCATTTGTAAATATCTTGATCTTATGAGTTTTGTTATATCAACGTGTTAGTATGTTTATTATATAATTTAATCTAATGATCATTGAATGATAATAATCGTCAAAAATAATTTGTTCGAATTGAAACAAAATTTTTAATTAAAATATATTACGAAATGTATTATTTATCCGTTTAATTTTCTATTATTTCACTTCAGGATAAATCTCATGAAAATTTCTTAAATCGTAATATTCAGGAATGTTTAATGTTACGATAAAAAAAATTTAATACTTTTTAAAAATTTTTTTTACTCTTTCTTTGCTTGTATTTTTTTCTCTATTTTTTCTTTTTTTTTTTTTTTTTTTTTTTGAAAGATCAGAAAATAGGTCTATAATTATTTATTATAAATAATAACGAGGATATCTTGTTTAATTAATATTTCACTTAAATTTTCGTACAAACAAAATTATTTAATTATAAATCGATCACGAATACAATTTAATGATATTATCATTATTTAATAATATTATTATAATTATTATTATTGTTATTTTTTTTTTTTTATTAATAATTCTCTCTCTCTCTCTCTCTCTCTCTCTCTCTCTCTCTAATCTAATTGTATGAGTTATACCAGTATAATAGAATAATTGAAAAGAGAGAGAGAAAAAGAGAGAGAAGGAACTTTTAAAAAAAAAAACAAAAAAAAAGAAAAGAAAAAG